CAGAAGGTTAGACATTCCTGGAAATGGGGGTAACTTAGGGAAACTGTACCAGGGACCTGAGAGCAGGCAGCCTGCAAGTGAAGCTTTTAATCAGTGAAATTGGGGGGAAATGGAGTCACGTTCAGAGGTCATCACCTGTGGCCAAAAATAGAGCTAATAAAGAGGAAAAGAATAGAGCCTAAACCAACTTTGTGTAGATAAAGGAGTAGATCCTGCTTGATAGAAAATGTGGAGACCTGGTAAAAAAGGGAAAATATCTAAAACAATTCAGAAAAAGACAAGTGGGAACAAAATTTGGAATAAAAATAATAAAAGATATTAATCAAATAAAAAGGAAGAAGAAGAAGAACATTAACAAAACAACAGAATGTAATGGAGAGAAAGTCCAAGATTAAAATGTAAATAAGAAAACAGAGAAAGGAAATTTTTAAAGGGATACGTAACTAGAGACCTAATTAATGTGTGAAAATTGTGTCCTTCCTTTCCACCCACCTCAGCCCCATACCAGGAACATTCATTTCTAGGCATCTTGAGCTATTAGGTGAAAATTGAAAAATGGAATGAAGAAGGAAACAGGAATGAAGTGAGATGGAGTCGAAGCTAAAAAATTCATTGCATGGATGCTTTTGAGCTGTACCCTTCAATATAGCTAAGATGATGAATTCTGTTATGTGTACTTTATCCCAATTAAACAGAAATAAAATAGATAAAAATCCTCATGTGCAATAAATTTAAGTGGGAGAGGTTTTTAAAACAACAAATTAAAAACTGTTCCTTCAACAAATTTTTAGAAGGAGAAGGTGTGATGTAAATGACCTGCCAGGACACTTTCACTGTGAGGGATCCATATTTCAAGAGACCCTATGGTACAGGAAACTGATCCTGTCCTCTTGGAACAGTAGGGTGACTGTGGAAACCAGAGACCCTACAATGACAGGTGGAGGCAGGAATATTGACCCCAACCCTGAAGGCTGGGAGCATTTGCTTGCCAAGTTGGGTTGAAAGGAAGGACAGCATCCCGGGTAGAGAGGAGAAGACTTCCAACCATCACAGCCTGCATTTGCAAAGCTCAAAAGTGGAGCAGAAGTATGGCTGTTCCTGCATCCATGTCTTATTTTATTTGGTTTTATTTTTCAATCAAATATAAATTTTAGTTAAAATTTGGATCTAGGAAGAAAGAGGTTGAATTCTTGAGAGCTGGATTCCTGGGGACAGTAAGTTTATACCTTTTGTACTTTTATCTTTCCCCTTCCTTACCTTACCTGTCTGTACAGGGAATCAGAGTCACCATCCATCATGAATATTAATCATGACCGTGTGCCTGATGGAGCCAGCAGCCATCCAAACCCGTGAGGCCATCAGGTTCAGGCAGTTTCCTCTGGTGACTTTCTGGATGATGACATTTCCTTTTCATCTTTTCCTTCTTGGGTTGCTTGAGTTTCTACCTGTAGGAAGTTACACCCTTCCCTTATAATTTTCTGCTTCCAGACTATCGTGACCTTAGAAATTAGACAAATGATTGGAGTTAGAGGTCCCAAGGGAGGGCCTAATGATTTTTGGTTGTTTTTTTTTTTTTTTTCCTAATGGTGATGTTTAGACGAGGGTGGACTTTGTGGCTCAGTTTTGATGATTAGGGCACCTGAATTTCCTAGTTCTCAAATAGATCGTCACCAAATAAGTAAGTTATTGACAGGTACCATGTCATGTTTCCTTTTGAAAATTATGCCGGCTAAGGGTAGGATTTATTAAGAATTAATTGTGGTGAGAGAAAGAGGGGTTACTGAAACTTGGGAGTGGATGCAGTTCAAGGACTCTCACTCCATCACACTTTCTCTGTGTCTCCATCTTCCCAAGCCCATCTGCGTGGGACTCGGAGGGAAGGGTGCCATCACTTTGATTCTGCTGTGCCTGGCTTGAGACCCAGCTGCACTGGGATAGTTCCAGCTCACTCGGGAACTATGCGCACAGACTTTTGTACTCACAAAGACATCTGGCTTTGAAATACAGGTGGATAATGTTTTTTTATGATAGCAATGAATTGGTACTTTGGCCTTTTATACGGAAGATTTATCTGAAAGGTATTCTTGTGTCTGGATTTCAGCTATCAGGTTCAAAATATGGCTTTGCAGGAGGACTGCCAGAGGTCACTGTCATGAAAATCCTCACTAGAGTTATGACATTTTGTCCCAGGAGTCTTGTAATTATGGATCGGGTCTCCCAATTGTATTTTACATCAACTCAATTATTGCTGCCATCTAGAAGTGGTTTCAACTCTGGAAAACCAAAGATAGTAAGAAGTTGTACTCCAAGTGGACATTTTAGGTTTATGTTACAATCTCCAGTTCTGTGGCTCGATGCCCGGCTTATAGGAAGATGCTTATGGGGCTATGATGTACCTCTGTAATTTGGAGTTGGGGAGGCGTCCTGCTTCTACAGGGTCCCTGCATTGAGAGTGGGAGGCAGGGGAGAAGGGTGGGCAGCACTTTATTTTTGTCACCTGACTTCACACAGGCCCCTTTAGAATAAATAGTATCTTTCCATAAGCTGCTTGTGGTGCTTTTAATGACTCTTATGTCACAAATAGTATGCCCTGTTCTTTAGAGACTGTGACATTACTGATTCTCCTAATGTATCTCCCACCCCATGAATCACTCTTAGACATATACAAATGAAGTAAGAAGCTATGTTTAGTTAGTGATTTAAGATTTATTGAGAATTATCTGTGCAAAGACCTCTGTGTAGTCAGCTCTCTACATCCACAGGTTCCACATCTGTGGATTCAGCCAATCTTGGATTAAAAATATTACATCTCTACTGAGCACATGCAGCTTTCTGTTGCTTATCATTGTACCATGTAGCAACGCTTTACATAGCATTTATAATGCACTAGGTATTTTAAGTCACCCAGAGCTGATTTAAAGCATATGGGAGAATGTGCCTAGGTTTTATATAAATACTGCATGTTTTACGTAAGGGAGTTGATCCTTCTTAGATTCTGGTGTCACCAGGGCATCCTGGATTCAATCCCCCATGGACACTGAAGGACAGCATATTACATCTGGCAAGCTGTCTTGTTAGGGAATTTTCAGGGATACAGCTAAAAAGATTTTATGACTCAATTATAGGGGCCAATCCTAGGCAAACCACTTGACCAATTGTAAAAGAAGAAGATTAGATGGGCAGAGAGGGATGGCAGCAGTAGGAAAGAAAGAAGGGAAAATGTACGTAAGAATAGTGTGCTCCCTGGACAGTCAGGGTTTCAATGGGTCTTTGATGCAGGGAGGCAAACTACTAAAGGCCTTGAGGCCAGTGTGTTTGAGGCTTGATGAAGATAACTGGGAGCTATTGAAAGTTGTAAATAGATAAAAGTTGTGACGGAAGCCATGTAAGAAAGAGACCGGTTGGGTATGGAAAGTAGATGGAATAAAGTTAGCTGCTGTTATAATCTTGACATAGATTTCCAAAGGCTGAGACGAGGAAATGGCTAAAAAGGAATAGGGAGGTGAAAAGAAAAACTTTACAACACATTTTATTTTATTTTATCGTTCTAACTTGAGAAGCCATATTCTTATGGTGTGGTAGTAGCTGAGATCTGGAAAGACCTCCTGAGATATAAGGAACCCCTGAACAGGAAAAATGAATTGGAGCAGATGGGGTAGGAAAAATGAGGGAGAATCATCAATGTGCAATTAGATATATGCTTGTAAATTCAATAAAATAAAACATTTGTGTGGCTTTCTCAGAATTGGGCTTTGGATCCAAAGCAAGAAAACACTTGCATTCATTTGTCGTTATGAATATTCAGCTTTCATGTAGGATCTTGTTTTCTTCTTCATTATCAATGACACCACCATTCTGTTGATAATTAAACCCACCTCCAAACTGGAAATTCACTTTTCTCATGACTCTTTTCCTTAATCTCTGTACCCAGTCATCTGAAACTGAATGCTGCCTTTGAAAGTCTACTTTGTCATTATCCTGTCCTTAGCATTCCTAATGTCTATCCTAAGTACATTTGTTCTTACATTTCTCTCATTGGATATTGATGCCTAACTTCATCAGAAGTATTTGGCTGGGTGCATGCTGGAATTGAACATAAAGAACAGAGACATGAAATCTGCATTCTGAGCAGAGACTACTACTCACTAGGAGCCCTGATTGCTGCCCCTGTTCAAGATCTGATCCAAGTAGGGAATTTACACATTTTATAAAGGACAAGTGTTGGGGTTGTGGCTCAGTGGTAGAGTGCTTGACTGGTATTCTGCAGGCCCAGCACTGTTAAAAAAATAAATTTCATATATATATGAAAACAGATACATGTATGTATATATGACAAAACACGAATACCTATTATGTCTTTCATATATTTTTATATGTGTGTGTGTGTGTGTATATCCCCCAACACACACACACACACACACACACACACACACACACCCCTAAGCAAGGCATCCCAACTTGAGCCAAGGGTGATGGGAGTGAAAATTTAAGTTCATCCTTTGGATGGCATGAATAGCACTGCCTGAGGCTTTCTAAAGGTACCTCCCTTTTGAGAGCAATAGCCAACTGGATCTTGGAGACTTCTAGAAGCTATGACCCCAAAATCTTTTCCATTATTCTGCTAAAGCGCAGAAGACAGAGAGCTCCTGCCATTAGAAAAACTTGGACAAGAAATCACTTTTTCTCCCATATAAATTTTCTCAGTCCATTTTCCTGGCTTCTAAAAAAGAAACCAAAAGCATCTTATAGATTACAGAATTCATCAGCTGTATCTGTCTGGTAACCAAAAGAATTTTTTAGATTGTCAAATCTGTGGTAATGCAAGCCTGATATCATAAAAGTAAATTTTATCACCATTTCTAAATAACAGTGCCAAGTTGTAATATTAAGTGCTACATTTTTAATATGATTCATATCCTTATATTTATGATTGTACACACCCCGCCTGAATATTTATGATATTATTTTCAGCCGGTAAGAACATCCATTCTGTTTTTCAGCTTCTCCAGTTGGCAACGGCTACATCAAGCCTCCGGTTCCACCTGCTTCAGGCACACACAGGGAGAAAGGGCCGCCAACCATGTTACCCATCAACGTGGACCCTGACAGCAAACCAGGAGAATATGTCCTCAAGAGCTTGTTTGTCAACTTCACCACTCAGGCCGAACGCAAAATCCGCATCATTATGGCAGAGCCACTGGTGAGTCTGTGCCATTAAACCTGCCTCTTTTAAACTTCATCTGTACACGGATGTAGTCAGTCCTCTGTGTCTGCGGGTTTCACATCCAGGATTTAACCAAACTCAGATCAGAGGCTTGGGGGGAAAAATTGCATCTGTACTGAATGTGCTTAATATTTTGTTGGTCACGAACAATGCAGTTTAACAACTACTTACGTATCATTTGCATTATATTAGGTATTGTAAGTCATCTAGAGATTATTTAAAGTATATAGGATGATATGTCCAGATTAGATGCAAATAGTACATCATTTTATACAGGGACTTGAACATCTGCAGATTTTTATATCCAAAGGGGATCCTGGAACCAATCCGCCCCCCGCCCCCACAGATAAGGAAGGATGGCTGTTTACCAGATTTTGCCATTCTGGCAAAGAATAGATTTGTGTTCTAATAAGTTATAATATTAAGTGCTACATTTTTAATATGATTCATATCCTTTTACTTTAAAAAACTGTTTTTCCCCCTTTTAATCACAGGTGATATAGGTAATTATCAAAATCTTAGTTAGGTTTCCTAATTTAACTCATTTTGTTCCATTGTCCAAAATGTAGAACACATAAAAACTTAAGCTGAGCAACAAATACCACACACACATGGTTACTTTGAAATAAATATTATATTTTTATAGTTCTATTCTTTTAAGAAAAATAATAGGTGAAGGATTAAAGCATTTGAAAAATTTGTATATGTACACTTCCATATATACTTAAAAATATACATAAAGGATTATAAAAGATACATAAGCTCTAGGTTATAATTTCCAACCTATTTTAGTGCACCTGTGTCAATTTTGTTGAAACACTCATGGAACTGAAGACTTTGGGACTTAATGGGTTAAAGGAAAAAAATTTGAGTGTAGAGAATTTTTAAAGTGATCTTCAGTAAATCAAATTCAGTAGCCCACTTCACTGCTGCATTCAGGACTATAAACATAATCTAAGAAGAGTATTAATTATAGAAAACTGTGTTCAGAGTCTCTGTTATGTTTATATGCTGAAGGCAAAAATTTTCACCATGCTTTTTAAAATTTGTTGTTGTTGTTGTTGTTGTTGTCAATGTGCCTTTATTTTATTTATATGCAGTACTGAGAATCAAACTCAATGCCTCACACATGCAAGGCAAGTGCTCTACCACTGAGCTATGACCCCAGACCCTCACCATATTTTTAAAATAAATGAGGGGGAAAAATCATTGCTTTTCAAGTGGCTGTCTGGACTTCCAGCTTGAGAACATAAGGTTCTCCGAACTGTATTGTCAGAGTTCGTGTTTTGTCAAGCAGTTGTGAAACCTCACTTTAGTTTCTGATAGTTGGAAGATAGGAAATTCTTGACTCACTCACCTTTAGGTTCCTAATTAGACAGATGATGTCCTTGGGCGTCAGTGTCTTTGCAGATGCTTCTGTTGGAAAATAAGGCCTGGGTCAGCCTTATGTTAATTGCTTTAACAGGGCTCTGAGGACTGCGAAATCATGAAAGGACACTCAGGAAGGAAGAAAGTGCAATTGGTAGATTCAGATTACTTGTTTTCTGACCTTGGCGTGGCCACACACAATAGGAGAGAAGGAAAGGAATTCCTAGTGACGCAGCTGTTCCTATGAAGGGCTTTGTGCCTCCTGTGAGGATACTGGAGCCATGAGAAGATACTCTGAGTTTGTTCTGTAGAATCATAGCTTAAAATGATCAAGAGCAATATTATTCAGCCCACAGCATCATCTCTGGAAATAGGTAGTAGATGAAGCACAACATCATTTGTTAAAAATGACTTGTAAGAATCACCGTTGACAGTTTGGTAGTCAAAATTCAAGTTCATGTGTTAAGTGTGTTTACCTGGAAATTATAAATTTTGCACTTTAAAGTTTTTATTAGATCATTGGAGCTCATTTTTATACATTCTTTTCATGAAATTCTAATCATTTATTGAATTTCTATTATTATGGAAACATTTCTTGTTTTTACAATTTAAATTACTTAAAGAGCAGCACCTTTTTTGCAAGCCTCTTATGTTTTTATATTTCTACTACTCTAACTACTAGTAGTAAATAATATTTATGTTGTACTTACTGTGTGCCAGGTTGTGCTTCACTTATTATCTTTACAATGACCTGAGGTCTTTTGCCATTTACATATGGGAAAAGTTGGCACAGAGAGGGTTAAGTAATTGCTTAAGGTCACACCTTATTGATGGGTGAAGTCGGAGCTTAACTCTGACCTGCAGTAAGTGCACTCTGTTGCCAGTCTCTGCAGGAACATCTTCACATAAAGATATCTTCACTCACCTTATGGACCAACACAAAGCTCTTCTGTGATCTGAGTTAGCCAAGTCAAGTTCTCAATTCCTGTTGCCCAGAACAATGTTGATCCACAGCAAGTTTGGCTGCCTAGGAAGCTGGGACTGCTCCCCGGTGGAGGGAGGAAAGTTGCCTTGGGGTCCATAGCATATGGAGGAGCCCAGGGAGGAAGGCACAATGAGGATTAATTTCACTCAACATCAGAGAAGGGTGAAAATGGCAAGTTAAGGGTCTTAGAAACTGAGCATCCTGGTGACTTTTCCCCAGGAACTGAGAAGTATGTACAATAGCTGAGAGAGATTCTTTTTTTTGAGCCACCCATATTTCCAGAACAATATTTCAAACACTGTCCTTTAAGGATTCCTGATGTGACATGAATTGGGTTTAACTTTTTCTTCTTTACTCAGCTCTGAATTTGTCTACATGGCCTCTTTTCTTGTCTGAGTAAGCATTAGGCCTGAGAAACTCAGATGTGCCCCAGCATTCTTCTAATTAGAGGTAGGCTCTGTGTTCCTTTCCATGAGCAACCGAAGTATTCCCAAATGAGAAAAACGGAAGGGGACGGAATTTTTTAAAAAAGCACAAGACTTCTTCATCAGACAGTTGTCCTTGGGTGCCTAGTCGGAGAGCTGGTAGGTGCTGATGGCTTGGAGTTTTTACCTGAAGAAATATATGCAATCAATTTTTGGTATTGTTGCTTTTTATAGAAAGAAGCTATTTATTCCCCTTGTGTATTTTGGCACAGATATAAATTTCTGTGCCCTATCCATTTCTTGTCTGTTGAAAATTGCTTAGTAATTTTTTGTCCTTATACTTGCTTCCTTATAGGAGAGTGACCATAATGGATTCTGTATCTTGTTTTGTTATTTGATTCGAAAAGTATAAATGTGCACTTGGCATTTTTGTTCTGCAGTCACAGCAAGAAGGATTCTTTGTTTTTATTTGTTGTTTGTTCATTGCTATTGTTGTTTTATGCGGTGCTGGAGATGAAATCCAGGGTCTTATGCATGATAGGCGAGTGTTTTACCATTGAGCTATACCACCATCCCAAGAGGTATTATTTTTTATGTTATGTAGAGTACATACTCTAATAGGGGAATTCTAATAAAAGTATTCTCCTATTTATCACCTCATTTAGAAAGACTGAATTGCTGGGCAACATGGTACACGCCTATAATCCCAGCAGTATGGGAGGCTGAGGCAGGAGGATCTCAAATTCAAAGCCAGCCTCAGCAACTTAGTGAGGCCCTAAGCAACTTAGCAAGACCCTGTCTCTAAATAAAATATAAATAGGGATGGGGCTGTGACTCAGTTATTAAGTGCCCCTGGGTTCAATCCCCAGTAATCCCCCTACCAAAAAAAAGGAAGAAAGAAAGATGTTGAATCCATTAGAACTCTGAACTCATATGTGTTTGTATCAAATCACAAAATTGTATTCCATTAACCTTAACATAACTAAAACTTTAAGCAGCAAAGAAAATTTTCAAAAATTTGGAAGTATAGCTTTATTATTTGGAATACTACATAGGAATCTGTATTTTTCAATTTTACATCACTAAGAATCCCAAACAAGTTTAACAGACTGTGTACAATAGGTTCTACATTACATTACGTTAAAGTTTAAAGTTTTATTTATGTCAAATAAATAAAGTTACCCAAATAGCTAACTTTGATGGGGGGGGTGACAAATAAAAATATCCTAGCAAAAGAAAATTTTAGATTTTTTTTAAATAAGTGTATTTGTGAACATCTTTTACTTGTTCAGCCATATTGTTCTTTGTACCCAAAAGACATTCAGGTCATATTCATTAATATTTATGAGTAAGTCAATAATTTTCTTTTTCATTTTCTTCTTTTCTTTTTGCCTCTTGGGGATATTTGATATCCTTTGCTCTTGCTCCGTCACCATTATTTCACCTTTCCCAAGCAAAATATTCTAAACAAGCTAAATGAGTTATTTATGCCTGTTTAAAGTTATTTTTATTTCAAAATAAAAAATACAGAAAGACTCAGTGGGTGATAAATAACTCAGTCTTGTTCATCTCAATGTCCTATTTCCCCCTCATTTATCAGCAGTGGTCCTCTGGGAATGGAATTCTAGGTTCACATTCATTCTCCTTCTAGACTTTTGAAGTTATATTATACTCTGTTACTTCTATCATTGCCATTGAAAAGTCTGCAGTTGATTTATTATTTGTTCACAGATGATGTCTTTCTCTGCTTTTATGTGTTTGGTGTTCCAGTCTTTCACTACACTGCATTGGATGGGAATTTGTTTTTATTTCTTGAGTGGGACTCTTATGTTTCTTAAGTTTGAATTAAGGATTTATATCTTCCATCAATTCTAGAAAATTCTTAACTATTAAGTGTATTAATATGCCATTTATCCATTTATCCATTACCCCATTCTCTCTTTCTGGCACTCCTAGTAGATGTATTTTGAACCTTTTCATGTTATACTTCTTCTTTTATCTATGATATTCCAAGTAATTTTTTCAGATCTATCTTTCAATTCATGAATGCTCTCTTGAGCCATTTCTAATTTGTTGCTTATCATTCCCATGGAGAATTTTAATTTTGACCACCTCATTTTTCATTCCTAGGGGTGCTGTTTGGGCCTTTTTTAGAATGTCTTTGGCATGTTTTTCCTCCCATTTTGTATTTTCCTTTC